GAGCACATAAGGCTCTTTGGTAGGCTCTGGAAATTATTCCCAAATCTAACAAATCAGTCACTACTCCCTTTATAGGCGAGCTGACATGCCACATGGGAAAATCTTATGGGGAAAATAACATTTGAGCTGGGCCTGAAAGAACGGGTGGAATTTTACTACTAGTAGTGATGAAAGATACTCCAGCCATTGGCAAGAAAACAAATAAGCACAGTCCCGAAAAAGTCAATGAAAAAGAGAAAGGCAAGTAGTCCATTGTGGCTAAAATATTAAACCTTATGAGGTTAAGTTGCCATAGAACTTTTCTTTAACAAAATAGCATGAACAGTGTATGTACTCAGGGTGTTATCTGATGTCATATTTGAGCACCTGCCATGTGCGGGGCTCTACGCATGGAGATGCAAAGATGAATAAGAGGCCAGGTTCCTGGAACTCATCCTCCAGCCAAGGAGACAGTCTTAGGGCAACAAATTCTAATATGTCAGACCAACTTTAATAGAATACAGGGAGAAACAAAGCACTTTACTGTAAACTACTATAGAATCAAACCTGGAACCCCAGAGGTCACTTTTATTTTGCTTCTTCTATATACCACTCAAATTAGCATCTACAGTTTTTAATCTTTGCCTGAACCTTATATATTTTATTATCTGTTCACCTTTGTGTAGCAACCCAACACTGGAACTTATATTTGGAATCCATCTAGTAAATAAAGTTCTCTTTACAGAGAAAAGCACCTCAAACTTCTCCCATCCAAACCTAACACACTCCCCCTCTCTCTGGCCCGCCCCCCGCAAATCCGTTATCATTCTTCTAATCTTTCTCTCAATGGATGGTACCACATCACCCAGTACCCAGGTTAAAAATCTCCAAGTCATCTTCCACTTCCACCTTTCCCTTCTGCCCTCATCTCTGCCTGCAACTCAGCATGTCAGGAAGTGCTCACGGATCTTGACCTTGAATGTCTTGTAAATGCATTCTCTCTTCCCAGCCTCCACTGCTGGTACTTTCGTTCAGACCCCTTACCTTGAATTATTTTCTTGGCTTCCCTAGTTTCTAGTTAACACTTCACTATACACTCTCAGACCTACCTTTTAAAACATTTACCTTACTTAAAAAATTCTCATAGGCGCCCATTTTTACCCTGAGAAATAAAGCACAAACTCCTTAGCGTGTCATACCTACCTACAGATCCTCACTGTGCCTTCCCAAGCTCTACCAGTTGGGCACTGGTAAAGCCCAGTCCTTGTTCTGAGGAAGCTTAGACTGGTGGATCTGACTCAAAATGTTACTTCCTGTTGTTATCATTGTTTATCCTTCCTTTCTTTCCACCCTGGAATGGGTTATCATTGAGTTCTGAAATGTATTCATTTCTGATATTCCCCCTCCCCCCAAAAAATGAGTAATGAAAATCTGAGTTCTCAGTTTAGTGTATAATAGTGAACTATAGATGTTTGTGAAATGAGTGAAGAGCTCCGAAAACTGTAACAACGATGTGATCCAGGAAGAATTTCGGGTAAGCCAACAAAGAAAGTAGATGGTGCCCTTTGAACCTCATCAGTCTCAAGTCTCTGCATGTAACTGTGACTCCTGGTGTCAGAGAAACATTATTTATTTCATGCTTTGGAGAGCCCTCAGTAACTTAGAGTTGAGGTACAATCACAGTTTTTACCATGAAGTTGTGGTAAAGCATGCATACTAGAGCCCCTGTGCGTGTGGAATTTAGGGCCACTGTGACAGTGTTCATTCGTAGTGTGTTCACTAGGACCCCGCACCTTGACGGCTGAGTCTCACAGTTCTGTGTACTGCGTGGCTCTACCGGAAGAACAGTTCCCGGAAACCTCGTTTCATCTTCTGACTCTCTGAGTAGCTTTAAGGGTTCCCCTCCCAGTCATTCAGAGATGAAGCCAGTGCGCGTTTCCTCAGACCCTTGTGATCTGCTGCCTTGCTGCCAGTTTCAGTGGTGTGCAGTATCAGAATGGCAGAAGAGTTTTCTTCAGCGCGCAGTAGTGCACGGCTTGGCAACCTACTGCTGGCTGCCTGTTTTTGTAAAGCTCGCCAGCTGTATAGAATGGTTTTTACATTTTTAAATGATTGAAAAAAGTCAAAAGAAAGTCATATTTAATGACATGGAAACTATGTGAAACTCACATTTTGTTGTTTGTGTTGGTAAAGTGTTTTGTTTTGTTTTTTAAACCCAGCCGCCCCCATTCATTTACCTGTTGTCTCCAGCTGCTTTTACTCTACGACAGCAGACTTGAACAGTAGTGATCAGACCGTCTGGCCAGCAAAACCAAAAATATTTGCTCTCTGGCCCTTTACAGAAAAGTTTGCCCACTCCCAGTATAGTGTATGATATGGGGGAAAGGAAAGGGTAGACCTGCAGCCATGAGGAATGCTTCCTCGAAAACAAAGGTGGTGTCAAGAGTAGTGACTGGAGTGGGAGGAGAGCCGTGGGACCTACTGTGGTGACCCAAAGAAGTGGGTGCCTGGCCACAGACATCAGATAAGCTTAGGTCTCTCCCCTGTGTTTGCCTCTGGCCCCTGAATTAAGCAATGGTTCTTCTGTAGCAAGGGTTCCCAGAGTTTGCAGGTCAGTGATGTGTGGGATCCTTTTCTCTGTTGAGTGTCTGGTCTTTGGAAATATACCTTCAGGCCAGATAGGTAAGAAGTAGTATTTTACTACTACACGGTACTGTTGCCTTGAATGTTAGGTATGGTAGCAATAGATATCTGTGTGTTTCATGTGGGAGTACCTTGGTAGTTCAACCCAGCCACTTCTAATTTAATAGCAAGACGCTTGTTGTCAATTATGTTGGTCAGTTTTTTACAAAATAGGCTTTCTCTTTCTTCTCTTCTTTTGAAACTTCAGAAATATAGGTATAAAAAAATCAAACTAGTGATGATTTTTTTCTCTTCCTTAAAGGAATCCAAAGATCATTAGGAACCTTTTAAAACTCAGTGGAGATGTTATTAGCCTAATGATTTTGTGGCGTAAAATAAAAAGAGGTGTTAGTCTGTGATGCATAGTTTATTGTTTAATCTCTCTAGTAATATGGAAAAGTCTTTCGCATTTCTGTTGAACATAGAGAACTTTGTTCTGAATTAGAGTGCTATTAGGTAGATTGCCACTAATTGAACATCTGTAGGGCTGTGCCTAAGGATTTTTTCATGTAACATTTTTATTGCTGATGGTATTACAGAAATACAGAAGGCATGAAAATCATGGTTAACAGTAGCTAAGAAGGAAGAATTAGTCCTCAAAATTACGTCAGTAGTCTAGAATGCCGGGCCCAAACCTAGAAAGTAGAATTTAACAGAGCAAATTAAAGCCTTGCACTGAAATTTTTTAAACATATTTTTAAACCATAGCATGAGGACACTGGCTTGAAAAAATCCAAGAGGAAGATGATCTAGGTCATTTATTTTATTTATGAAATATGGAAAACCTGTCAAGTGTTTTTTTTGTTTGTTTTTTTTGTTTTTTTCTTTTTTTCCGGTATGCGGGCCTCTCACTGTTGTGGCCTCTCCCGTTGCGGAGCACAGGCTCCGGACGCGCAGGCTCAGCGGCCATGGCTCACGGGCCAACCTCTCCGCGGCATGTGGGATCTTCCCAGACCGGGGCACGAACCCGTGTCCCCTGCATCGGCAGGCGGACTCTCAACCACTGCGCCACCGGGGAAGCCCTGTCAAGTGTTTTTAAAGGCATATTAAGTTGTATTGTGCCAGCATCAGCAAAATAATAATCATGTAACACTTTGATGAGATTATACTTGGCACAGTTGCTTCAGATTCAGTTGGCACATTTTTCCAGCAGTTCTATGAGTCATGACAGTGAGGCGATCCCAGAACCCTAAGGGGATGAGGAATGATTAGCTGTGTCCAGTACCTGATAGACTGTCATGGGGGCTGTTCAGTACTGCTCAGCAAAAGACCAGGACTACAGCCCTTCACTTGAAGCCAGGTTTAGGCTTGTAATGAAAGCCTTGTTAAGAATAGTATGCACCCAGGAGTGGAAAAGACTACCTCACAGTTTGAAAGAAGACATGGCTTTGGCATTTGGCATTAGGTTAAAAAAAAAAAAAAAAAAAAAAACTATGATTTCTGAGTTGCCTTCCAACTTGAGTATTGGATATTTATGGGTGACGATTATTACAACTTAATGATTTGTTTGATTACCAATAGTTTTTTGAGCACTTACTATGTGGCAAGTACCATGCTAAGCAATTGACATGTATTATATTCTTTAATTCTCACAACAGCACTGTAAAGTAGATTCTGTTTGTGTCCTCTTTTATAGATTAGGAAAATGAGATTTTTCTTAAATAAGAGGTTAAATAAATTGCCCAAGGTTATGCGTTGAGTGAGTGGGCAGAGCCGTTTTGGGGATTCAAGCCCACATCTGTCTAATTCCAGACCTTATCCCGTAATCAATACGCTATACGTATCCCCCATGTGACTTGTTTATTAGTGTAATAGCGTGGTAGTGGAGCGTGTCAAAGTAATGTTTGTTGTATCTGTCTTCATAGGAAAACTAGACATTGCCAGCTGATGCAGTAGTTGAAATGATGTCATATAAATGAGATCCCTAACTTTCATAACTTTGGAAGGTGATAGTGTCCTCTTAGAGTCACTTAGTGACAGTGAAATTCATTATTTTAGAATTCTCATAGCCAGTTTCTCTTAAAAAAGTCAAATGGCTTTTTTAAGATTTAAATCACTTTTATGTATAAATGTGTGGAAAATTAAGTTATATTTATATATAACGCTGCAAAAAAATATTGGCTTTAATATTTGGTTCTGTATTTCGAAGAATGAATCTTGCAGATTTACACATTACATTTTATTTGATTAGAGAGGTGTTTCCCAAGTTATATTGCTACTTTTATGATTGCATATGACCTAAATTTGAATATCCACTGACGACTGTTGGGAAATTTTATTAAAATTTATCATCTCTGAAAAATCAATTTTAACAGTGAATGTGTTTTGTTGAATTCTAGGGGGAAGTTTGCAGTGGTGAGGAAATGTATAAAGAAAGATTCTGGAAAAGAATTTGCAGCAAAGTTCATGAGAAAAAGAAGAAAAGGCCAAGATTGTCGGACAGAAATAATTCATGAAATTGCTGTTCTTGAACTAGCACAGGACGATCCTTGGGTCATTAACTTACACGCAGTCTATGAGACGCCATCGGAAATGATCCTAGTTCTGGAGTAGTAAGTGTCGTCTCCCTTACTGAGTTCGTTCCATAGTCCACACTCCTTTATCGGTGCCACTCATCTGTGATAACGTGGCAGGCCCTGGTTCTTTAGAAATCTGAAGATTTTCCAGAACTTTCTTGTGTGTTCTTATTCATTTGACATATCCCAAATTTGCAAGGATGCATGTATGTTATGTTTTTCGTTTTCACTCTTCAATGAAATTTCTTTGAAAATAAGTTCTCTTATGTTCTTATTAGAGGCTTTCGTAAGAAGGTAAGTGGCACCAAGATAATATTAAAATAAAAAGCATTTTATAATCCCTTACATGTCCATATAATCGAAGTTATTAATCCTTCTTTCAGAAATGATTGTTTTGATTCATACCATGTTTCCAATTTGGGTAAATAAGTAAGGACAGCAGAGAAAACAGCTTTGGAAAATGAAGGACAGTTTTTTCTTCTTAAGAAATCCTGCTTTCTTCTCTGCTTCTCCTGCCAAAGGAAAAGATTGATAGATTTGAGTACATTAAAAAGCATTATTAGTACATAATACGAACACAAAATGAAAAGACTCAGGGAAAAAATAGTTCTAATATCTGTTCACCCAAACTGATTAATATTTCTTTAATATATAACTAGATCTTACCAATATACACAGAAACATGAACCTCCCAGTGTAAAACAAAAAAAAGGACAAAGAAAGGATATAAAGAGAAATTCCACACAGAAACCTGTGTAAATGGCCTATACATACGTGAAAAATACTGATTTTTACAGTTTTTATAATGTAAATTTAAAAATAAGTTGCCGATTTCTCTCTATGTAAGATCGTCAGATATCATGAAGAAAAGTGATACTCATGACTTGGATCATCTCATTTATACTACAGGTGGGAGTATTACCTGGTGTAACTCTTCTGGAGAACAGTGTGGAGTATGTATCAAAAGCCCTAAAAATATATATACTCTTTAACCCAGCAATTTCACATACATAAATTTTTTCACAAGGAGATAATCAGGCCATTGTGCAAAGATGTATTATAAAAACGTTTAGTGCAGCAGTATCTACATAACAAAAAAAATAATCTAAATGTTTAATGGTAAGAGGTTGGTGAAATAAATGATCATGTCATGAGATGGATTGCTCTGCAGTCATTTTTAAAGATATGGTAGATAAAAATGTACTACATAGAAAGATGTTTTAAAATATTAAGTTAAAAAAGAGAAACGTTACAAAATAACGTGTCTATTATTACCTTGTTTTTATTTAAAAGTTTATAGAGGGAGAAGCCTGGACGGCTAAAATAGTGTGTTCCTCTTGCTAATATAATTCAAGAGCATTGTGTTTATATATTTTAATTCGTAATTTCACTTGTAGGAATCCCCTCAAAGAAAAAATAAAATGTGAACAATGGAAAGCATGAAAGTGTTTTCCATTGTGTATTTTTAATTATAATAGAAATATCCACAAATGATCAAATGCTTAAGAAATGTAGTCGCTGTGGATTATATCTCCGTGCAGTTGTTTTCCAGTTGTAAAAAGAAAGGTTGGTTGAGAGGATTTTGGTTTTCGGTTTGTCCTGGAGGCTTAAGTTAGGATTGGAAATTGATCCGGAAGAGACCTTCCAGCCATCATCTCCTCATTCCTCTCCCGTCATCACAAACCTGCTCTTCAGCCTCTGCGCAGGTCTTCAGCCTTCCATCTGCTCCTGCCTTTTCTTCCGTTACATTCCCTTCCCTTCTGTGGTCCTTACTGCAACTAGTCCCTCACCAGAGCCTCACGTTACTTCCTTCTTTCTGTTGCTCTCCCTCTGCAACTCCTTCTGCCCGTTTGAAACGTGGGACGCAGGCTGTGTGTCCCTCCTCCTGCCCGTTCTTGGGAGTACTTGCGTAGTCTTCAGTCTGCTTATTACGAGGGTGAGAGTTGCATCCTCAGCTGGGCTCTTGGTGTACCTGGGTAATTCTTTACCTAATCTCTCAGCCCCTTCTTTGACCATCCCTGGCAGGCAGGCAGGAGCTAATCAAAACCTTGACCACACTTACTGTGTCACCCACTTCCCACCTGTTAGACACCGAGGCTTCTCTTCCTTTATGGAGGAAATAAAGGCCATCAGACACACGCCTCAGCATCCCTCTCTAACTGCTCTCACCTGCTTGCCTTCCGTTCTGAGGAAGAGATTCCACTCCTTAACTCGAAGGCTAAAACTTTGACATATGTTCTTTAATCCTCTTCCTTTTCTAGGACTTGAGTTATCTAACCTCTCTCTCAGAGTCCCTCTCCTCTAGTGATTCTTTTCCCTCCATCTTCCAGGATTTCAGTCACTTCTCTCCTAAAATTCCTGGTCCTCAGCTTTGACTTTTTGTGAACTAATGTCCTGCCCTTCTCTTTCCTTTACTGCTGTGGTCTTTAAAGGAGTCGTCTGAATTTACAGCTTTCCTCACCTTCCAGTCAATTTTGTTCTACTTCATTGATCTATCCATCTGCTCATGTGCCGATACTCCATCACTTTTCAGTCTAATGCCATCTGCTGTCCTAAAATTTTCATGAGGTCATCAGCCCTGTTTGCCAAAATCGATCTCCTCATTTTAGTGTTCATTCTACTTCTTACTCTCTTTAAACACTTGATATTATACCTTCTTCTCTTGAAATTATGTTCTTCCTTGGCTTTCATGGCCCTCTTTTATTTTTTAAATTGTAGAGCGTTTTCCCCTTCATCTACTATATAAATATAAGTGCTCCCCACAGCTCATTAGTGTTACTCTGGTCATACGTTTATATTCTGCACGCTTACCCTGGATGATAACAATCCATTTTTGTGGCTTCAGCTATTTTTTACATGCTGGTTATTGCTGGTTATTTCCAAATCTTTATCTCCAGCGTCAGACCTTTCCCTTAGCTCCAGCTGCTCTACTGCATATCCCTGAATCCACCTGCACATCGTGACCAATGCACGATCACTATGTTTTCACCCCTGCATTGCTGCCCTTCTAATGCCCATGTTTCTTTGCTCCCCACTTCCAGTGGTATCCCTGTTTATTTCATCACTCAAGTAGAAACCTTGGGTCTATCCTTGATTGCTTTGTCTCATTTAATGCTCGTGTGTCATGAATTACCAAGTCTTCCACTTGAACCTCTCCCCTGCTGGTCCCTTTTTCATTGTGTTTCTCCTCTGTGTTGGGTCCTCTCTCTCGCATGGACTTTCACAGTAGCTGCTTAGCTGATCACTCTGGCTTCAACTCTAGGGCATCCCTCAGGCTCCTGTTGGATAGGTGACCTACACATAGATGTAGCAATATTATTCCCTTGCTTAGAAATCTTTGGTAGCTTCTGTTGCTTCCATGATCATGTTTCTAGAACTACAAAACAGTATGACTTGGCCAAAACTTTTTGTGTTCTACTTTTTGTTCGAAGAGGAAGTCTTAGAATTAGACTTTGGACATTGAGATATCAGAATTCTCGGCCATGTCAACAGATTGTTGTTATGGAAACAGGCAGGTTCATGATTACTGTATTACTCATTCCACCTGCCATGTGCTCTGGATACTAAGGTGCTGGTAATACGAAAGTGAAAATTGTATAACCCCTTTGTTCCAAGTGCTATAGTTTAGTGAAAGAGATAGAAATGATGGCAACAACCTTGGTGTTTTACTAGAATTCTTGTTAATTGCTGTGGGAACATAGATGAGGTGTTAATAGTCGTAGTTAAGAATTTACTATGTGCCAGGCACTGTGCTAGGTCTTCTCTGCCAGCTTTGTATACGTCATTTATATGCTTTATATACATTATTTGTGCATTTTAGTTTTAAATTTTCTCCAGCTTTACAAGATGTGATTGACATAGAACATGCTGTAAGTTTGAGGTCTGCAACGTCTTGGTACACTTACATCTTGCAAAATGATTACCCCCAGGGCATTAGCTAACACCTGCATCGCGTCACGTAATTACCAATTCTTTTTTGTGGTGAGAACATTTAAGATCTACTCTCTTAGCAACTTTAAAGTATATAACACAGTATTATTAACTGTAATAATCATAGTTACATTAGATCCCCAGAACTTACCTTATAACTAGAAGGTTATACTCTGACCAACAGCTCCTTTTTCCCCACCCCTAGTCCCTGGTAACCACATTCTAATCTCTATTTCCATTTGAGTTTGCCTTTTGTAGATTCCACCTATAAGTGATATCATACAGTATTTGTCCTTTTCTGTGTGACTTATTTCACTTAGCATGATGCCCTCAAGTCCTATCCACATTTTTGCAAATGGCAGGATGTCATTCTTTCTTGTGGCTGAACAGTATTACATTATACATTTTATATATATATATATATATATATATATATACACACCACATCTTATTTACCCATTCATGTTTTGACAGACACTCAGATTGTTTCCATATGTTAGCTATTGTGAAGAAGCCTGCAGTGAACATGGGAGTGTAGATATCTCTTCGAGACCCTGCTTTCATTTCTTTTGGATACATACCCAGAAGTGGAATTGCTGGATCATATGTTAGTTCTATTTTTAATTTTTTGAGGAACCTCCCTACTGTTTTCCAGAGTGGCTGCACCAATTTACATTCCCATCAACAGTGCACAAGGGTTCCCTTTCTTCCACATCCTTGCCAACACTTTCTGTCTCTTGCCTTTTTGATGATAGCCATCCTAACAGGTGTGAGGTGATGATAGCTCGTTGTGGTTTTGATTTGCATTTCCCCAATGATTAGTGATGTTGAGGACCTTTTCATGTGTCTGTTGGCCATCTGTGTGTCTTCTTTGCGAACATGTCTATGTAGTTCCTCTGCCCATTTTTTTAATTGGAGTATTTGGTCTTTTGCTATTCAGTTGTATGAGTTCTTTATATACTTTGGATACTAACCCCTTATCAGATATATGATGTGCAAATATTTTCTCCCATTCCGTAGTTGCCTCCTTATTTTGTGATGATTTCCTCAGCTGTGCAGAAGCTTTTTAATTTGATGTAGTCCCAGTTGTTTATTTTTGCTTTTGT